ACCCACGACTAACAAATTTACAGAATAAAATAAATAGTTAAAATGACTAATAGGTATAAGAATAGTTTAATTAAAATTAAACAGTTTAAAATGCTAATGGGTTATAGAATGTTTACTTTAAAAATTAAACAGTTTAAAATGCTAATGGGTTATAGAATGTTTAATTTAAAAATTAAACAGTTTAAAATGCTAATGGGTTATAGAATGTTTAATTTAAAAATTAAACTGTTTAAAATGCTAATGGGTTATAGAATATTTAATTTAAAAATTAAACTGTTTAAAATTCTAAGGGATTATAGAATATTTAATTTAAAAATTCAACAATGTACTAAACTTCTATGTTTTGTATTTACAATTACATAATCAACTTAAAAACATAAGAATGTAAGTTAAAATAGATGTTCTCACTTTAAGTTTTCCAATATACAAAAATGAACAATAAACACTGATGGAAAAATGAGAAAAACTGCATGTAGCCAGAAATTCAATTTCTGGTCAAATAACTAAAAAAGTATCAAATATGAATGATACCTTATTTATTTTTTCTAATCCCTTTGCCATAATGTGTCCTCTAAAGAATGGTGAGTAACTTGTTAAAACAACTTTGTGAGCTGGGTAAGCCTTTGTTCCTATATAAACAGTAATGTCTGTCATAACATTTTCCTTCCAGAGTGTGGCCGCATGTTGTCTAAGTTTTGAATAATGGTCAAAATCCACAACCACTCTGTCAGTATTGAATTGTCTTCTTCCCTGTTCATTTGCTGAATAAAATACACCTTTCCTGCTACTGGATATATTATAATCTATGTGAGATACCTGCTTTTTTTCACTGGTGTGTACTGTGACACTATCCTCTTCATAAACATTTGAAATGTCCTAAAATCCAAAATAAATATAATAATGTTTTAAAAAATATGACGAAATTTGAAATCATCTAGTTGTTTTCTAATTAGTTTTCTATAATACTAATGAATAAACAACCTCTTAATAGAGATTATTTTTAATGAGTAAAGGACGTTACTAATACTACTACACATTAAATACAGTTAACCAGCAGCAGAGGTCGGGTTTTGTTCTTTAATTTCCTCTCATTCCAGAATTCTGAAGAGAAGTGGAATACTCCAAAAATTGGAATACTTTAGGGTCATGTGGCAAATTCAAAAACACACTAGGTCTCACAGACTTTTTTTTTAGCAAAATAAGTAAATGTGGTGAAAACTAAAAATTACGTTGAATCCTAGATTTTTATATAACTGAATGAAACAAAATGAGAATTTTCCTTTTCTCTACTAGAATAGTTAACAGGTCTAGAAAAAAATTCAGTACTTGGTCAATGCAGTGGTCAACACAAAAATACTAGTTGTTGGTAAAAAAAAAATCATCTTATTTATTAATTAAAAATACAACAATTATATAATCATTCCCATTCAAACAAAAAGGAGGTCATAGCCTTGAAATATCACCTGACCTACTACTGGAGAACACTGCTGTCACCTTCATACACAGGGTCTCAGACCAGGAGTTATTTCCAAGGGAATGACAAAGGGCAGCTAGAACAAAACCAACTAAACAACATGCTGACCACATTTTATACAAAAACTGCACATACCTGGAAAAAAATAAAAAACGTTGAAAATTAAAGTAAGAAGATAGAAAGAAAGTGCACAGCTATGCTACCTGCATACCACAATTTACCTTCTCCTCTGTTTTTAGGCTTGTCCTCATGCTTATAATTTGACAACTAATGTTAACTGTAAAAATCAATAGAATTTACAAAATTCTATTTTCAAGGAACACTGTAACCTTCTTTCCTTCCCATAAACACTTACATATAACACATACAACACAAACCTTTAACAAAGGATGCAATGTATAATCAAATGCCACTTAACTGGGTTTGAGTGCACACTGAAAAGAAATCCTTTCACATTTAAAATTACACCATGCCCAAAAAGGGAATATCCTTTAATATAGATAACCTGTAATAAAGTAATATGGTAAATCCTTTGACATCTACAAAAGAAGACCTATTCACATCAAATTACAGAATAAAGAAAGGAAAATATGAAACAAAACAAATCCTTAAAAATATTAAGATAGTTCAATACATACACCATCCTTGAAAACAGGTCACAAACAAAACCTTTTAACAATGAACCTATGAACTGAGCTTCATAGTAAAATAAAATAAAATTCATTATATCTAAAAACAAGATAAACCTCTCAATTTTACATACACAAAACACTTTGCAGTACACAGTTAAACGTCACACAATATTCTATTTAACATAGATATTACAAACACAATAATACATATTATAATGACCATCTAACAACAAAACAACAGTTTCTGTATAAAATCAAATTTGGTGAAGTGAAGTAAAACCCTTTAAAAGCAATCACATAAATCTCCATCACTGTTTGTACAAAATAACAAAACTTAAGAAATGGACCCTTCAAATACATGGATCATAGTTATAACTATGATGTAACTTAAAACACAGCTCTCTAAAGAAGCCATTTAATATTAAATTCAAATACAAAATAAATTTTTGAACCAGAAAAACCAAAAATACACAAAAACTCATATACAATATAGCAAAATGAACCCTTCAAAGTTAAAAATGAAAGAACAGTAAATTGCAATTTTAGTAAAAAAAATAAAATTAATCTTTTAAAGTATACTAACATATCATTAGGAATAACTTAAAAAATTCAACCACATAAAAAATAAAGAGAAAATTAGTATAATGCATTATAATAACCTTTTATGGACTCAAAGTCAAATATTAATAATAAATACAAATGCAAATCATGTTATATTTATACAGATTGTCTAGGCATGTACAAGAAAATGATAAAAATAATGTAAAAACAAAATTTGAGACAAGTACAGACACACCTATAAAAATTACAAAAGTTGAATGAACCATACAAATGTTAATATTTTCCTACACTAAAAATATATTTCCAATAGATACTTACCTCATCTCACAAAATAGCTTTCCTTGATTAGTACTGCCTTCTATATGCACAAATGTCACTTACCAATAGCCTTTATCCTCCCACTCACCTCCACATGGTATAGTTGCATTGAAGCATGCAACAATCCTACAAAAACAGGAGTGTGACACACCCTCCTAGCACAGTTGACTCCCTCTAGCAGTAGAACCCAATCTTCACTTCGAGATTAGGCATGAAAAAACACACCAGAAGCGGGGAGGATGGGTCTGAACCGTGAGAAGAGATAAGTATCTATTGGAAATATATTTCCAGTGTAGGAAAATTCTAACTTACCTCCACTAGCTAGAATCTCACACTGGAAGGACCAGTGCACTTACCTAGATGAGTCATCTACAGATAGCATCTGAAAAGTACCAAGGAGTGTTGAGGAAACACACATGTGGGAGACCACACCACATTTGAACCAAGTATACTCTTCACCCTTGATGAATGAATGTGTCGTGAAATGGGTGGAAATAAGGCATATCTGAAAAGTAAAAAGTGCATTTGGTGTAGAGTGGTTAGGGCACATTGAACCATAAGTAGTAATTCAACTCCCATAAGAGAAAGGTCAGTTTCAGTCCAAAACCAGTGGTATGAAGATTGGATCAATTGGCCCACAGTAGCAGGAGAGTCCTACTATCCACCTGAGACTCAGGAACCAGAAGGGAAGAAGTACTTCCATTCCAAGAACCCAATCTATCATGTGTGCATATCAAACATGACCAACACCTGTACCTCCCAGGAACCAACATCTGGACAATGGTAGGAAGGTAGAAATGCAACATGGATGGTCAACTCCAGTCCAAAACCATGCAGTATTTGGAATGTCTTGTTCAGTCCATGGTAGGAGGAGATTCTCAGCCCACAGTCACCTGGGAACCAGCATCAGGCAGTGGTAGGAAGGAGGGTTCCCAGTCAGTAGGGTGAACTGCATATTGGAATGTGACAGTAAAATCCAGTCCATACCATATGGCACCTGGAATCATACAACAGATCCAGGGTAGAAGGATAGTCATGCCACCTACACCACAATGCTACAATGCAGCTGCACCACATGGAAGTAGGTGCAAGCATAAAGGCTAGTGGAGAGCAAAAATTTGCACATATAGAGGGCAGTACAAATCAAGGAAACTCAAGGTGGTTACAAGTCATCCCACTCTACAGTAGATTTCCATGCCCTGTGTAGAAAAGCATTATCAAGCCTAGCTTGCAGATACAAGCCAAAGCCCAGGGCTTGTTGCAAATAAGCAGTGGCCAATCAAAGAATCACTACCACACTTGAGAATCTGCAGGAGTAAAGCCTCATGCTGGGTCTGGATGAATGATGTAAATTCCGATACAGTATCTTATCTCTTCTCACAAAATAGCTTTCCTTGATTTGTGCCCGGCATGGCCAGGTGGATAAGGCGCTCAACTCACAATCTGAGGGTCGCGGGTTCGAATCCGCATCCCACCAAACATGCTTGCCCTTTCAGCCATGGGGGCGTTATAATGTGATGGTCAATCCCACTATTCGTTGGTAAAAGAGTAGCCCAAGAGTTGGCGGTGGGTGGTGATGACTAGCTGCCTTCCCTCTAGTCTTACACTGCTAAATTAGGGACGGCTAGCGCAGATAGCCCTCGTGTAGCTTTGCGCGAAATTCCAAAAACAAACAAGGATAAGTTAGGAGTTCCACACATGGCAATTTCTGGTGATTTTCTTGGAGTTGAATGGAGGTGAGACAGTAAAACTGGTTCCTAAACACTTGAACTAGGCAACACTAACCTTTAATTTTGACCATTATTAGCATTTATATTGTTTCTCCTTAGGAACCATATTCCACTTAGAAGTTTAGTGTTAGCTTTGGTGTGGTTTTAAGCGTTTCACCATGTGGGTGACATTCCACCATTCATACACTCACAGCCAACATTTTCATACGTTACAACTACACCTTATAATCATTTACTAAACAATATGAAGATAATATTTAGATAACTGTGAGATTATGAAATATTTCAATCTGAATGACTGAAAATATTTCATCACAACCAAATAAAACACTGATTACATCAAGTTTACATTTATTATGATATTTAAGCTACTGTCTGTGAATTTCATTTATACTTGTAATTTCACCCATTCAAACCAATTGAATAGCACTAGGTAAAAGTGTTTTTCTCTCAAACACAGTATGAATTTCTCTGTTACTGTTATTCTTGCAAGGAAAGTTCACTACCTTCCAGGATATTTCAATGCTGAAAACTGAAAAAATATTTTTATTATACAGTTTGTCCTGTCAAAATATCCATAGGTTCTTATGGTGAAGTGAAACTTGTGATTCTTTTACAAACAGTTGTATTTCTTTGTACATATGCACTTCATTCATGTTTAGCAATAAGTTTTTGTCTAGTTTAGTTTCTCCCCACTTGTACCTGAAGAATGTTTGATGTTTCCTTACATAGTGAGGAAGTTTTCTTGATATGCAGTAGTACCAGTAAGTATACTGATTCTGATTGATGAGAAGTTTAGCTGAGAAGATAGTTTGGCTGAATTTTTCTAGTAATTGTATTGTAGTATCTAAAAAAAACAAATTGAGTTTGATGGCTCCTAGATGGCAGCACATTATGGGATTGTAGCTATCAAGTCGTAGCATTAAAAAGTAACCTAAGAAGGTTACTAGAATTATTTGTTCATGAGCAAGAGTCAGTTTGTTATAAAATACTAGAGTATGTGACAGTGTGTAATGGTGATATGTGTTTATCACAATAAACGTGTGGTCTTGCACATGTATGTAAACATTACATGGGTGATGTATAACATAATTAACATAAAGGAGAAGCAACACATGGATGGAAACAAAGGATTTCATCTGGATGTTAAGCCCTTGAGATATGACGCTAACTGTGATTGCTGACATGTGAGGTAAGCTATAGCATACCTGTTATTTTCATACTAGAGAAAGAATCCTCAAACTTGCAAGATGTTTAAAGTGATTCAATTGTAACAAATTCACATTTTTTGTTCTATTAGAAAAGTGAAAATACTTAAATGTCTATAAAAATTTTCTAACTTTTTCTTGGTGACTTTCTACTAGCTGTTGGAGATAAACTCTGTTTTCTAAAACTGAAACTTTTCCCAGGTGTTTTTCTAAATGTTGTTGACAAGCTCTATTTTCTAATATTGAAGCTAGTGACTGATTTGAAGATGTTGTCGTGGTAAAAGTACTTCCAGTTGAGGAATAATCTTGCAATTGCTCTGTATTTTTCATTTCTGCAAACAAATTCAGCATCTGTTATAAGTGTTGTAATTATAATCATTGCAGGCAGGTTACTGCAATAAAACACATTTATCATGTCAATGACCACCCTGAGGCTATTAAGTTCTTCGTTCTTTGGTAAGTTTCCAGATCTAAACATTATTAAAGATATAACCAACAAATCTTAATAATAAAGATTCAAAATTATGATTACCAAAATATTATGTCCAAAAACTTTATATGTTTTAATATCTTAGAATAAAACCCACCCCTGCTATTTGTAATTATCACTAGTTTTAACGTGACAGTAGATTCTTATGTTTGTACTTGAATTGAAATGCAAATAAATATAAAAACCAGTAACTTTTAATGTGAGTACACATATTTGTATTAAGTAATTTATTTGGACTATCATAACAATATTTTCGTTTTTAATACACAAGCTTTTGGCTCAATTACTTAAGCCTTCTACAGGTGTGAGATGTTTAGTAAACAAATAATGTGGTGATAGTCCAAATACGTTACTTAATACAAAAATAAAAACTATAAATCAACAATCAATTGTTGAGAATCAAATATTTCATTATTTTCTTAACTCTATTTATTATAATCATTAGGCTTATTCAAATTACTTACTGTAGTATACTCTACAAAAGTGAAGTGTTCCAGAACACAAAAATTCATGAAAACTTATTCTTTTACAATTATAGCTTCTTTATAGTAAAATAATTAATTTCCTGCACAATAAAACACAAGGCCATACAGTATATATCAGTAATTATTCATTCAAACACAAGTAAATCTGCCAAATACCAGCCTGCAACTTATATGTATCAAAATATTAAAAACCTGTTCAATCATGAAAGTATTTACACTTAGGAATGTAACCTTACTAAACATATAAAGCAAATTTATAACATCAGGTGAATATACAATGTAAGTAAAGTTCTGTTCTTAAATAAAACAGACTGCTATTATATAATGTTAAAATTTTTATAAGCATATTACTAAAAGGAATAAAATGGTAATGTTTTTTAAATATATGGAAGGATTATTAAAAGAAATCAAACTTTCCTATAATCAACAAAAAAAGGAAAAATTACAACACAACCTAACCAATCTTCACAAAGTGTATACTCTGAGAATCTTTGTTAAGTTGTTAATATCATCATCATCAAGGTAATATTTAAAACAACACTTATTAAGTTATTTAAATCAAACAAGCTAGGCTTTAAAAACTGATAACTTAGGCAAAAATTTTAGTTTATCTTCAAACTGAAGCTATGTTCTTTAACCCTAGAACACCAGCATGGGGGTCACTACGATCCCACACAACTTAGTGATAATGACTGAAAATTTAACAGTGGCATTCCAGTTAATTTTGCAAACATAATTATTTAACGAACAAATGTACTGTATTAGACTCATGTTTTAATAACTTCCAGTAAGGGGCTCTTGCTTTTCTATTGAGCAATTACTGTTTTTAAATCACATACAATAAGAAATTTTTAAGAGTCAATACGGATTCAAAACCAGGGGAGAAGTCTGTAACTGAAATATTATTTTATAACCTTTCAGACAATGGAGTAAGAGTATGATGAAATATCTTTACAGATATCATTTTGAACTTTCTTGTATAAATATTTCTTATGTACTATGTTGAAAGGTAAGTATGAAAAATTAAGTCTACATGAAACTGAAAGAGAAGATAAAAAAAATAAGCTGATGGTCTTTCTTAATCACCTGAAAAACCTACTGTAGTGGAAGAAATGGTATCCAAGTTTGTTTGTTTTTACCACTATAAGACTCTACCTTCCAGAACCAAATAAAAGAAGTTTGATGTTAACAATGAACAACCCTACTCATCTCAGTAAAAACTAATGAAGTAAACTTTTAAGGTAGTTTCTGTTACAAAGAAAAAATGATTTTACAAACTGGATCTTCTTTAATGAAAATGTTACACTCTCAAATTACCAACTAGTGTACAAAAATGTAACTTCTTAAGAGAATTGTTTTAAGTACCATAGTACTTCAATATTAAACAGATTTATACTGAATCTGGATGATTTTAGTAAAATCACGAAACACTTACTCTCTTGACAAAGGGATGAATTGTAGAATCCTCCTCAAATATCTTGGTCAATCAGAAGCCAAACTGAAGATTGAGCTCCTAGAAAAAAAAATTCAAAGTTAAGTAAACCAAATCATGATTTAGTGAACTAACATTCTTGTAAAACTAATGAAATTGAATCAACATCTTTACTGGATCAGTGATTCTTAATTACAAACATTCTGAAACAAAAAAAAATGTTAGGAATTCCATAATATAACTATTAGGTTGGATCAGTGATTCTTAATTACAAATATTCTGAAACTATTAGGTTGGATCAGTGATTCTTAATTGCAAACATTCTGAAACAAAAAAAATGTTAGGAATTCCATAATATAACTATTAGGTTGGATCAGTGATTCTTAATTACAAACATTCTGAAACAAAAAAAATGTTAGGAATTCCATAATATAACTATTAGGTTGGATCAGTGATTCTTAATTACAAACATTCTGAAACAAAAAAATTTTAGGAATTCCATAATATAACTATTAGGTTGGATCAGTGATTCTTAATTACAAACATTCTGAAACAAAAAAAATGTTAGGAATTCCATAATATAACTATTAGGTTGGATCAGTGATTCTTAATTGCAAACATTCTGAAACAAAAAAAAATGTTAGGAATTCCATAATATAACTATTAGGATGGATCAGTGATTCTTAATTACAAACATTCTGAAACAAAAAAAAAATGTTAGGAATTCCATAATATAATTATTAGGTATATCCCACATTTCCTTCTTAAATATAGATATTATCTCTGATATTACCACCCCAAAGGATATCAGTAAGTTTAAGATTATTTAATTTGTAGTTGTGTTTATTAGAGCAGTAAGCTAGAATAGTTAAAAAATATAGGTACTTTTACACATAACATATAAACCTAAGAAAATAAATAATGGTTAAGAGCTTTAACATGGACACTTCAATATATAAACTGTAGCTTTCTTTTTTGTTTCTTTTTGGTACATGTTATAGGCAAATGGCATTTTTGGAAGCTTTTTTTAACTATTCTGCTTAGTATTAATTTAAAAAACACAGAACTTCCCAGATAACAAGAAAACATATGGTCAAAGTCAACTACAACTCAGTGTCCAACATATATGTTTTTGGTATGTGCTATCTTTATCTAGAGGCTTCACTCAAAGCATGAAATATTAATTTAGTATACTACTATAAATCTGTATGTTATTGTTAGCAAGTTAATTTAGTTTTTGTAGAACTTAAGTTAACAACAATTAATTGAAATAAAACCACTCACAACAAACAGTTTTCATCAGTTAAAGTGAGGAAAACTCCAAAAAGTTTATATAATTTTATTGTGGAATATTTTCATGTTTATTTAAAAAGCTACAAGTGCAAAGTAGCATTCAAGGTGATTTTGTTTCTAGAATTCTGTCTCTGACTTTTCATTCCACAATGCTATAGTATAACAGAACATTCTTAAGTATTTACATAATGAATCATGTGAATGAGTTTAAATTATTTATGCACTGTTAACATGGAATAACCTCAGAAAATTCTGGTTACATTCTATGAAGGCCTGACTTAGAGATAATTATAATAATGATACTGATTACCTTCAATTATACATGAATGCTCTGAAATGGAAGTGACTGTAGAGAATGAGGAGATCATGAGTGGCCTTATTTTTATCATCTTATTAAAATGTCTGTCATGGTCTTAACTGTTAAGACTACATTTCTACAGGCTGTCAAAAAATTATCTCAGTTTACACTGTTGTTTCAGTAGTGGGAAAAGGCATCTTGTGCATGTGCCTTATTTACTGGTCCAAACCCATTGTTCACGCAACTAGTAGATTTGTCCAACCCATTGAAAAATGACAGGTTGGAGTTTTGTAAAAAAACTGTGGACCCCCCCCCCTCCCCAGCAAGCTTTGTTCACCAACTTTTCCTCTTTGTCATAAAAGAAATATAATCACATATTG